GTCATTTCCGTAACAGAAGGATGCTCACTGCCCCCTCTGTGTGGAGGAGAACCAGACTCCTCCCAGAGAGGAGGCTCCCTAGAGTCAAGGCGGCTGCCCACCCAGCGCCTGGGCTTGCGGGGTGAGGGGCTGCTCTACCTTTGGCTTGGATGCCAAGTGGATCTAACAAAAGTGATTGAGTTCTTGGCCCCTCCCTTTGCGTCTACGCAGGGGCAGGGGCTTCTCAGCCAGCGCAGAGGGAGAAGCGAGCCGGCCAGCTCCTCAACCCGGAGCTTAAGCAGATTCCAGCGCGTCCGTTCTGACAGAGGAGACTTGGTTTGCCGTGCGGGCGTCAGGAAAAGCTCACTTCCTGAAGGAAGAGGTGAGTAACTAAGAAGAGTCTCAGCAAGACAGGTGAGACTCTTGGAATTGGTAACACGTTGCCTCGGGGAACGGGTGGGAGGGAAGCTTTTCACTGCTCTTTTGTTGCCTCTTAAATTTTGGATCACTTAAGTATGGCCTAGTCAAAATAATTTAATTTGAATGAATTTAGCATAATGCCACTTTCCTGGGGCGAGGAAAGGGGGGGGGATCTGCTTGGTCTCAGAGTAGCTTGAGAGTAAGTTTGATCTGGAAATTGGCATCACCCACCAAAGCTGGCCTTTTCCTCCCTCGGAAGCAGCCCTTGCGTATCTCCTCAAGCATCACTTGTCAACCTTTATAGTGCGCGTGAATCACCTGGAGTCTTGCTGAAACGCAGGTTCTGATTTAGGGACAGGAGAGAGGCCTGAGACCGCGTTTCTAACAAGCTCCCAGGTGATGCCAATGCTGCTGGTCCACGGACCACACAGAGGGAAGCAACAGAGCTCGGCAGGGCAGGGCGGAGGCTCAGGGGTGAGGGAAGCAAGGGCCTCCCTAGCGGCAACTTCCACCTGCAGAGTGAGCGCCATCGTCATCTCATTAGCCCTTCAGATGGAGCCTCAGAGCAGAGAGGGAGGGAAGTGGGCAGGGACACCCAAGCCCCACAGGACAGCAAGAGCCAAACCTTACAGGCAGTGCGTCTTCCATCTGGGTGAGACGCTATCCCCCGAGCTTCCCGAGGCTCTCTTTCCTTCCTCCTCTTCCCTCACCACCCCCCCCTTTTTTTGATAACAGCTTTATTAGCTGTAACTCACAGACCACACCCCCCATTTAAAGTGTGTGATCCAGTTGTTTTTGATGTATTCATGGGTTTGTACAGACATCACCCTTGTGGATTTTAGAACATTTTCAGCACCTCAAAAAGAACCTCGTGCCCCTTAACAGCCCCTCCCCAGCCCCCACTTTCTACTTTCTGTCTCTATGACTCTGACTTCTCTAGGGAGAAGAATCACACAGTATTTGTCCTTCTCTGTCTGGCTTCTCTCGCTGAGCATCACGTTCTTTGGGTTCGTGCATGGTGTAGCAGGTGCCAGGATTTCCTTCCTTTTAAAGGTGGAATCAGATTTCACTGTGTGAATGGACCACATTCATTTACCCATCATCTGTCTGTGGACCCTTGGGTTGCTTCCAGCTTTCAGCTACTGTGAATCGTGCCGCTGTGAACATTTGCATACGTGTTTGAAAATATGTCTTGAATTTACCCAGTACCTAGGAATGGGATTGCTGGATCATGTGGTGAGTCTGTTTAACTTTTTGAGGAACCA